GCGGCGGTCGTGGCGCCCGCCGCGAGCGCGCGCAGCGCCGCGCATGCCAGCATGCCGCCGTCAGGCTAATAGCTGCTACTGTCTCGGCCTGAAGAAGCGCTGCATTGCTCTCCTATGTGCACCCCGAAGGCCTCACAGCGGCCAAGCTCAACAGCACGCCGATCACATGCTCAATGGCCGCAGAAGGCTGTATATATGCGATGCACAAAACCCTATCTGCCCCTTCCTGACGTGTGCTAGTCCCGATGTGGGGCGACCGGGAGAAAAAGCCCTGGAACGAGCTCGTGGTGCGAGCTAGAGCGCCCTGCAAGTGTCGTCACGACATAGCATTGTTGATTCGATCTTTCAGTAGGCAACAGTCCGGCATAGTCGCAAAGAGACCGGTGTCGGTGCTCGGGTGACAATCACAGACCTGTGCAACACAGCACATTGTGCCGGTATTGTTTTGATCGCAGCGTTGCTTACCGCTACTCCTCTGTAGTCCAGATCGCGGTGGCCATTTTTTGCAACCTCTGCAGCACAGCAGCACTATGCTCGTTTCAGGGAGAGCCCTGTGCCACTCAGTGGGCCCCGGCCAACAATGTCAGGCTATGCTGGCTGTGCGGCCGCAGCAGCAGGGAGCCCCCCAGTTGCGTAGTGCTCGCGCCATGCCAGGCGGCACGCGCTGCAGCAGCGTTGGTGCGGCATTGATGGAGGGGCACGCGTTCCGGGCCCGGCCGTGCTGGCCGCCCGCGGCCGCCTTTGCCGCAGCAGCGGCCAGCAGCAGCAGTAGCAGCAGCAGCAAGACGCCCGCGGAGCAGGGGCCGAGCGGCGGCACGGCAGCCGGCGAGGGGCCCCCGCCGGTGCGGCGGATCATCCTCCTGCGCCACGCGGACAGCGAAGCCAGCTCCTCGACCCGCGACCACGAGCGGCCGATCAGCTTGGACGGGCGGCGGGAGGCCAGGAGCATCGCGCGACGCCTGCGGGAGCTGGGGTGGGCGCCCGACCTCATTATCGGTGAGCCGTGCTGTCCCGCCCCTCCATTGATGTGGGCGAGCACTTGCGCGTGGGCCCAGGGCCCAAGGGCCCCCCACCAGCCCACATGCAAGGCGGGCCGCGGATCTGTGTCACGGCAGCTGGCGGAGGGGCAGCAATGCTGCTCGGGCCCGCTTTGCCGCCCATGCATGGACAGCAAAACTGGCGCGCCTCCACTGCGCGTGGGGCGCCACGGCATCACAGGCTGCGGGCCGTTCGCGGCCTTAGACCAGGCAATGCTTCAGCCGCGCCCCGTGTGGACCTGCATGCAGTCTGTGCGCAGCGACTAGCCACCGCGCGGCCGCCGCGGCCCGGCCTGCCGCAACTGCTGCCTGAATCATACGCTGCAATCGTTGACATTCACAGCCAGCAACTCGCGGCGCACCAAGATGACGCTCGACGTAATGGCGGAGGCGGACGACCGGCTGGCAGAGGTCGACGCACACTATCTAGGTGTGCAATGCGTGCATGCACAGGGGGGCCGGGCGGGGGCCGGAGCTCTGTGCTTCAGGAGGAGCAGAGGCCGGGTCTGTGCCCACGCCTGTTCGGTTGTCAGGTGGTGTGCGCCGTGTGCAGTGTGCAGGCGAGCACCGCTGCCGCGGAGCTTGTTGGCGACGCGTGTTGCATAATTTCTTTGCGCATGTACGGCCCCGCGCGCGCGACGCAGGGAGCTTGTACACCGTGGCCGCCTTGGACGGCCAGACGCGCTCCCACCTAGAGGAGTGCATCCGCGGCGTTGCCTGCGACACCGCAAACTTTTGCGTCATGTGTGTCGGGTGAGGGGCCAGGGGGCCAGGCGGGCGGCGCGCCGGTGGGTGCACATCGCTTGAGCTTGCCAGGGTTGTGCTTTCAAATTGATCTTCTCCAAGGGGGCAGCGGCGGTTGGCGGCAAGCTCGGCGGAGGAGGCCATGCACAAGTGGGCGGGCCGGCAACCCGGATGCTCCCCGCCCGCTCGCCTCCCCTCCAGGCACAACAAGGGCTGGGAGGAGGCCGCCAGCAGCTTTGCCAAGCAGGCTGTGCGACTGCACACCGCGAGCGCGGCGTTGTTTGAGGCGGTCGGGCGCACGTGGTCGGACGCGACCCACCCGGAGGTCGAGTGGCGGCTGGTGCAGGTGGTGACGCCGTGACAGGCGTTTGCAGCAGCAGTGCGGGCATTGAAATGGCGCAGGCGACTTACTGTGTAACAACGTTTTGTACAAGCTAGCAGGAGGGTAGTCGGCTGGCTGTTTGCTTGGCTAGGGACCAGATCAGCATGAAATTTCAGCTTGTAGGACTGGCACCTGAGGCTTACGAGCTGCGCCAAGGTGTCACTTGGCACAGCCGCAGGGTCACTCACCCCAGAGGTTGAGTGACCATCTGGTGTGCCTCGTCTTCCTGGTATGTACTGTACATCCTTTCCTGTCCATCTCTTCCTGGTCTCTTTACAGCGCACATCCGGGTCCCCACCTGGTTTCAGGGCGGCGCGTAATTGCGTCCGCACGGCTGCCCGAGTTTGGCGCCGGTGCTTGCAGCGGCGATCTGAATGGCGCCCGCCCCACCATGGTCACTGGCGGAGCCTTGGGCAGCCGACCCCATTGGTGCGGCAGCACCAGGCAATGCAGTGAGCGGGCTAACTTCATGTGTCCAGCTGCCTGCCAAGATGTCGCGGGCTAGTGGCGCGCACTTCCCGGCGGGCAAAGCTCCATCACATGCTGAGCCCAGCCAGCACCGCCTCCAGGAGCAGCACTCTGGATCTGCCTGAGCCGCCGGACGCGAAGCTGCAGGCCTGGACACTTGGCCCTGAGTCGGGCACGGCACGCTCGGTCCACCCCGCCTTTGCATCGGCCCGCCTGCAAATCGCCTGCCACATCATGCTCGTGAAAGATTCTGTGTTTCACCTTCCTGGCATGGATTGTTTTGCGCGGATTCACTCAGTGCACATGGCGTGGCGCAGGCAGTCTGTCGTCCTCGGGTCGGTGACGACTGTGGTCCTGGTGTTCTCCTTGGCCACAAGTCGCAGCGAGTTGTGGCCTCCTTGCAACCAGACCGCCTCCTGATGGTCCTTTCCGAGCGTGTTTTGTGGCTGTTTTCAACTATTTTGGTGGTGAGTGGTGCTGCAGACCGTTAAGACCATCAGTGACCATTCCAACTGCCAAGTCGCCCATTGAGCATCATCAGGCTTGCTACTGTTGCCGTTGTTGCTGGTGATCAACCCTCCCAATGAATTGATCAGATGGGTTTGGACCACCAGGCCTTTCAAACTCGGCGTCAGCACTCCGACACATCAGGCATAAGCGGACTGCATGTGCACAGCTTGAATAGCTGCCCTGAAAATCCCGCGCTTCAGACATTGGGGACACACTTGGGGCAACGTTCAACGCGGCGGCGCACCTTTACTCACTTCGAGAATGTCAACCTCTACAATTGTTTCCATCAATGGGGATGCCAAGAGCACAGGCAGGGCCCTTTATGATATGCATACCCATGTGCCTTGTGCGTGGCTGCTGATCAGTTGAGGCGGTTTGCTCAGCATCAGCAAGTCGAA